TGGCGGCTGTTAGTTTGATGCCAGGGCAAAAACTTCTTGGTAGACAACATTTCTAGTTTTTGTTTCGTGCATTTCTCCATCCAATGTTGGTGGCAGGAGGAGAATTTTGACGGCCTTTGAAGTCTTTGCTCGAGAGATAGCAACATATAGTTGTCCGTAAGAGAAGATGGGTTCCCGTTAGTATAAGCCGACATATTCTAGAGTCTGCCCCTGTGATTTATTTATAGTCATGGCGAAACAAAGCCTGACTAGGAATTGGATCCTTTTGAATTTTATATCTTGAATCTTGTTGCCGTCGCTGATGAATGGTATTCTCGGCAAGAAAACTGTTTTGTCCTTATGTGGTCCAAAAGCTATTTTTGCTTTGATTGCATGTTTTCCCAATTGCTTGCATATCAGGCGGGTCCCGTTCGAAAGGCTGTCAGCTGGATTGAGATTCCTAAGTAGCATTACGGGACTGTTGACTTTTAGGATCAATTGATGAGGTGGGAAACCTTTTGGGTTTAGTGTACTTTTCCTGAGGAAATCTTCGTAGTCGACTTGGAACTGTTCGTCGATGGTTTTGTTGAAACTTGTGTATACGACGAGGTCGCCTGGGAAACGGCTGATGAGGTCCGCATTTATTTCATGTACGGAATCATTCCTTGGTGCGAGGATGGACCTGGTCATCATGTAATCTGTATTTCTGTAGCAGTAATCTAGATTTGTGAACACCGAATCAACTAACCTGCGATGTTTTAGGATATTTGTTAGGGATAATGCTATAATAGTGTTAATGCATTGAAAGAAGAATTTACACAAACAACGGTTTTGCAGTTTTAGGAGGTTACCTTTTGAGCGATCTTTCTTGATTTTCATAAGGTATTAGGTGTTCTTTGGACAATTCGGTCTGTGAATCTTCATCGAAGGGTTCTCTTCCTTCGCCCACCCTTAGAAGAAAAGAAGCAAATTCTGGATCCAATGATGCCCAAATGTTTGTTGTCAGTTGTAGTTTCTCATTGTGCTTCCAGAGGTAAGAATTCACAATTGAATTTTGGATCATTTCGTGCCTTGTTGCTCCTTGGATCACCGGTAGTGTCTGTCTAAAATTGCCACCGAACACGAAGACTTTGCCTCCGAATGGTAATTCCAAACCCATTAAGTCTTTTGGCAGGGTGTCGAATGAATGGAGTGATTTTGCCCTTGCCATTGATGCTTCGTCCCAAACTATGAGTTTGGCATTGATTTTCAGTTTTCCCACACTGCTCTGTTTGCTGATCTGACAAGCAGCTGCTTCCTCGTCTTTGACAGGTAGCTTGAACCTAGAGTGTGCTGTTCGTCCGCCTGCTAGACCTGTTGCTACAACTCCGGACGATGCGACAGCGAGGGCGACGTCGCCTTTGGACCTTACTGTTGCCAAAAGAGCTCGGTACAAAAATATCTTTTCCGTTCCACCTGGTCCGTCTAAGAAAAATGCACGTGAGTTGTTTGAATTGATTGCTTTGAGTATTCTGTGATACGCAGTTTTCTAATCTGGGTTAAGCTGTGTTTCTAAACCGATGTCTTCAGGTGCTACAGGGGGTAGTCTCTTTCTGCTTCGTCTTCTTTTGTTCTTTGATCTGGTTCACCGTCGTCAAACTCCGAAGTTTTGAAGCCGAAGTTTGTGAGTGTGTTGGTCATTTGCAGGAGATATTTTTGAATACTTTTGAGGGTTTGGTTTTTCAATGAATGGTGATGTGGTTTTGCCCAACTGTATGTATTTCCACTCGATGTCATGGCAGATGTGGTCTTTGAATTTGTTCCACAATTTCCTGGGGTTTTCCGGAGAACACCAAACAAGTAATATGGCAAATAATGATCTCAGGAGTGCTGGTAGGTGGGATTCGGATGCTTCCTCTAATGTTTCTTCTATATAAGAATCTGAATGCAGTAGTCCTAGGGCCAGGGCTGATTCGTGAAACTGTTGAATATTTGGCCATTGACTGTTCGCAAGTGTTCATATGACCTTGGGCCTCTTATGTGGTTGAGGAGCAACATCAGGTAATACCGTTCTCCGTCTCGTGGGCTAACTGCCACCATTCTGCCAATGACTTCTGCTTGTTTATTATGGTCCATACTTTGCTTTTCTTGTTCCACACGAAATGCTCTTTCTTTGTACAGAAAGTTCAATTGTTGGCCTTCTGGATTGTTTTTGTTCATTTGGAAGAATTCCGTGAGCATGGTTTGCAAAACTTTTGGGTTGGAAGTCAGGCCCCTTAGGTCGGTGTCATTTTTGAAAGATACCAACTGTTGGCCTTCTAGGTGGACCTGTAGCGGGTACACTGATGGTTTCATGTGGTACAAGTCGAATGCCAAGATTCTCCACATTGCTTCTGGAGGTCCAATCCAACGTGCTTTTTGGTATTCTTCGATCTCGCCTACGTCTGGGCCGACCAGGCTGTAGGAGATGACGTCGTGGCCCTTGTATATATACTTGTACATGTACTTAACCAGTTTGACCGCGAACATATCTCGACGTTCATGTGATAATCGAACAGTGCCAGTAGATATGGATCGTAAGGAACTACCCATTTGTTGTTAAGCCAGTGTTTGCGGACGAACACTTCTTTGCCGTCGTCCTGTAGTTTGGGTACACGTCTTCGGCCTGATAAGTGTGCTCGACGAAGGCTGTGGGATATTTATTCTTGCACTTGTTGTTCTTCATGCAAGGGTTGGTTTCGTTCATGTGTACCTTGTGTACCTTGTTCGAGGTCAGATGATTACAGTTCTTGAGTTTGGTCTAGAGCTCTACTCGAGAGAATCTTCTCGAGTCTCACTCTCTCTGCATTATGGGTATCACATGTGGCATCTCTTACGGTGACTTCCACTCTTCTATCTCTCCTCAACAACCGAGGATGTATATGATGACAGTCTCTTCTCTCTAATGTTATATTACACTCGAGCTGGTCTTCTCGAGTCTCTGGATTTCTTAAACAGAAGGTCACATTGGGGAAAGTTCTCGCGGTGCAGTTCAATCCCTGACTTATATCCTCGACATCGAGTATTCTCTGTCTTCATTTATGATGTTTCTACTATTCTGTGGCTATGCTCGAGGTCTGAGTCTATTACTTCTCAATCAGAAGCATACGTCATTTCGACCGTGGACATGTATTAGCCGTTGTTAATGGCGCATATTTTGAGACTAGTAGGATTCTCCGCTACGTTTCCTTCTCGACCCAGAGTATATTGGGCCAAGTTCTTGGCATACAGCTCCAGCTTATGTTTCTTTTCGAACACATGTCTTCGACGAAAAATGTCAATAATCACAGTCTTATTACATCTTCTCTCTTGGTACTCAACATAATATTGACAGAAGTCCCCTTCTCGAGCTTATCTTCTCGAAGCCTTCGAGACTCATGTGTTCAACCTCATTTATGCATATCTCTTGCCTCTATTCATGAGATTATTTAATATCGCTTCTCAATTATTATTCTCAAGATTTGGAGTTAATGCTTCTTGATCTGAAGTGCGCATTGTAATCTTCGAGCAGATCTCTTGTTCTGCCGGTTATTGACAACCACCATTAAATCGCTTTGCAATCGGTTACCAACTCCAAATACTCGGCCACCTCCGCCTCCAAATCCACATCCTCTACCACCTCCGCTCACCTTCGCCAATGGCTAAATCTAATACCACTGCCGAATCTAACACAACTAAAATAAAGAGGACATGAAATAGACACCCAACACAACTATAATTGAAAATTTTGCTGGGCACAAAATGCGAATGATGGAAAAATGTTTATGCCGCATTCGACGGCAGAGTAGACGAAAGCCGTTTCTGCTAGGCCGTTTTTAACAGCTCTGATTGACGAATTTTGCCCCCATCGGCCGGAGGAAAGAAGGAAGTACAAATTGATCAGAGATGCGAAAAATAGAATCGGGAGAGGGCTTTGGAGGGGGAAAAAAATTTATCGAGGAAGAAGGGGTAATAAGGAGAAAGGGCAATGGCGTCGTTTTACCCGCCCGGTCCTTTTGGTTTTTTCAGAAAGTTTTAAAAACAAAAAGAGGAGAAAATCCAACATATTAATTTACGGATTTAACCCTACTTAAGTTGTGAAATTGATTTACACCATTGGATTGAATAATATCAACGGCTCTAATTGAACTTAAAAGGCTCCTGACCAATTTACACCATTGGATTGAATCATATCAACGGCTCTAATTGAACTTAAAAGGCTCCTGACCAATAAGATTCGAGAGTCTAAACTCAACAGTCTTTTATTTTAAGGAGAGACTAGTGCTTGAGCATTGCGCACCCTATGAATAATTTGGTGTCCTTAATCTGTTATTAAATTGACACAGGTTCAGTTTATTAATATTAATATTTTCTATTAATATTTGTTATTCGGACAATGCAGAGCCTTGATCCTGCCAGACAAAATATGATGGAAAATACCATAAATTCAAAATCAGACAATGCATAGCCTTGATTTTTCTTCAGCCTTATGACACAACTTCAATACTCATCTTTTAATTTCATTGCCTGCCGCAACTCTTTCACAAGACAAAGCTCTCTAATAACTCCCATGCGTGTTCAAAAATCACACAAATATCAGAATAAGGACTCAGATAGACATAAAATTCAGATTGCAAACTCAAATCTCTGGTGCAGACCTAAACAACAAATAACAGACTTAAGTTGAGTTGATTTTGCTAAAAGTTTAATTTTCCTCAATTTACTATTTTATGTCGACGTGTGATGACATGTTGTGCGGTTTCCCCCTATTTCTCTTCGGCTTTGATTGATTTTGTTACCATAAATTGTTAGCTCTTTTTTTCTTTAGAATATCGTATCTTGCAGACTAACAGAGTCAAGTAGTGACAATGCAGACTATAATAGATGCAGAGCCCTGATTCTGCCAGCCATATGGAAAATACCATAAATTCCAAAAACTCACAAATTAGACCGTAAAAAAAAAAACCCCAAACCAGTGCAGCAGATGAAAGCTTCAATTCAATCAATAGAAGACAAAAGAATACCTGTTGCAGCCCGCTACTGAGACTGCCACCAGCCAAGAGGCATTTAGGACCACGAAGGTCATGAATTTGTGTCTCCTGTGATAGCAAATCGCATTGCATTTAACATTCTTCCGTATGAAGCATCGTGTCCCCGCTTGAAAGCTTAAATTAAAGAATGTCATGGCTTCTGTCGATGAGATATTTGAACCCAATCTGCAACATAATGAGAATATAAATATAACATGAGATAATCTGCATTGCATTTAACTTGAGTTTTGGATGGTTGCTAAATCTCTCAAACCCACAATAGGAGCACAAGGGAAACTCCGATTTGATCCGCCCCCAGCTGGGAGGCATCTACAAAACCTGTAACAACAATCCAAATAAGCAGCATATTTTTATCTCTTTGCACCTCAAAAATATCAAGTTCAGATTTTCCTCAAACCTTCACATAAAAATTGAACTGACCATATTGCTATATACTACTCCAAGGCGGAAAAATCAATTAAATAATTTGCTGAACACTTTTTCCTGAAAGATCAAATAAGCATGTATCCCAGTAACACACAAGAAATTCTCAGCTTAAAGGCAACCCATAGGAAAACCAAAAAAAAAACAACAAAAACCAATTAGAAGGTAAAACTAAGATCTTGCATATAATTACCGCCTTAGAAATCTTTACAGCTATAGATCAACTGAAAAAGAAAAGAGGATCAATTTTTCTTTTCCAAAAAGAGCAGCCACATAGCTTTGAAACAATTTAAAAGATCGCCAATGGCTTGTTCAAAAATAAAAGCAAGGGTGAAAAATACTTGATGAACTTTAATTCAAGACTTGCGATTGTATAAGAAAAACAATAATCCATATAAAAAATATGATGTTGAACCAGAAGCCTAAAACCAACATACCCAAACCCAAATAGAAGCTTAAACCAGAAAACCCAAAACAGAAAGCAATTATTGTTCGTTGGTGCATAAAAAATTATAGTTCTTCCAAAACAGAACAATAATACCGAAAACAGCAAACACAGCAAATATGCACATATATAGTTCCGACATAGTTTTTCGCCATAGTTATAGGACACAAGGACACATACTTGCTCTGATTTCCATAAACCGATGAAGCTCACAATTTAATAAAGATGGTTAACATAAAAAACCGGATAAAAGAATAAAGATGGATGGTGGAAGATAATTGATACCTGAAAGTATCCCACCCGAAGTTCTGAAACAGATGCCCGAGGTTCCGCAGTTGCTTCTTTCTTACTGTGGCTGTATTTTGATTAGAAAATTGTGATTTGAGTCGATAATTGGCTCTATAGATAGGGAAGGTAGCTGACATAATCGTTGAATCCTTTTAAGAGGCATATTTGGAAATTGATTGGAAGACTTTCGTTTTGGAGAAAGAACGGAGCGTAGGAATCGATGGAGGTAGACATATGTTCGGAGTTTGTGATGGTTATAATAGAAGGCATCGGAGCTGGAGTTGGTCGGCGAAGGTGATTTGGGTGGCCATTGGACGGAGAATTTTGGGGAGAGATTTGGTCGGGGAGTGAGGTGCTACAGGTTGGGCGTTATAATGGGGGGTTGTTTTTTAGTCTGTTTTGAGAATATATAGGCCTTGAATTTAGGGTGCTTGACTTTTGGGTGAGTCAAACCCAAAATTGTGGAACAAAAAATGTGTAGGATTTATTTTGTGGACAAATATAATGTTCTCGCGCTTTCAAAACGCGAAACAAGAAAATTAGATTAACAATTCGCGTTTGTGAAACGCGAATCATTTTAATTATGTTTTCCCCAAATTCAACCGGGACGAAAGGAGAAAAAAAATTGAATTAAAAAAGGAAAACCATTTTTCGCGTTTTGGAAACGCAAAAAACGTAAATAGCGTTTCAGAAACGTGAGAATTATTTTCGCGTATTAAAAAGGCGAAAAGCTATAAATTTTAAATTTTAAATAAATTGTGGTTTGAAAATAACAATTTAGAGTTTTGAAAACGCGAAAAAAGTTTTCTAGTGCTTTGAAAGCGCGAAAAATAATTTTAGAGTTTTAAAAACGCGAAAATATCCAGAAAATCTCCTCATCCACTCATTCGGCTCCACGTGTATTTTGATGATAAGTCTTGAGTGTATTCGCATTTTGTAAACGCAAAATTTAAGATTTATATACCAAACCAAGCAAAATAATAGCATTTTTTCGCAAACTTTTTCCATTCTGTTGAGCTCCGATTTTTCTTCCTAAACTTATTTCATTCTGTTGAGCTCCGATTTTAAGTTTCACTCCAGAGGACTTGACTGAATCCGTGAAAGCTCTCATTTCCTTCAATTTGAGAAGTTGCTCCGAAGTTAAAGAAGATTGATTTGAGTCCTGAATCCGTGAAAGCTCTCATTTCCTTCAACATTCAGGTAAGTTTATTTCGTTATAGAAAACATGTACTTTTTTATGCCTTATTGTGAGCATAGGATGATTTACGCATTATTATTAGTTAATAAATAATTGTAATTTAGTCAATTAACTGTGATTTTTTAATTAGGCTGATAAAGTGAATTGAAAGAAATATTAGTTAATAGAATGTTAAATTAGATGAGCGTTGTAAATTATTGTATATCGATTTCTGTAAAATAAAATTATAATAATGATATTGAATTTTTGAATATTTTTAGCATAAGAATAAATTATGTAATTCGGGCATAAGGTTTAGATTTAATATTATTTTTTAGCATAGAAATGAATTTGTAAATTCAGGCGTATAATTGTTCTTTTGAAATTATTAAATCTGTAAACGGGGTAAATACTGTTTCCGCAAAACTAAAATTCAAAATGTATGCTAGTGTTCTGATTTCGTAGGAATTGATTTTGCAGGCCGCAAATGTCTTTCACGGAGACAGTTCGTCTGAAAGTATACCGGAATACTACTTATACAACTGAACCTGATGGGTCTATCACGATACAACGGGATGCGCCGGACAGTTATTTTAACATTGATCGTATGTTAGATTTCTCGGAACTTGTGGATAAGGTATGTGGTGTGATGGAAGTTGATAGAGAAAGGGCTGTATATTGATTTTTCTTTGGTATAGACGGAGAGGTCAGGAAAAAGGTCTCGTGTGCACATTAATGATGATAATACTATTCGGTTCATTTATCTTTGTACTGATAAATGGCCAGAATTGTACCCTGAAAATGTTGAGAGAACAGGCCATGTTTATGCAAGTACATCTGGCCAGGATATTGGTGCCAGCACTAGTGGTGGTAGAACAGTTGAAGACAATGAAGATAAAGATGGAGATGAAGATGGAGATGAAGATGAAGATAAAGATGAAGATGCAGATGAAGATGGAGATGGCGGGGGTGTCGAAAGCAGTGATGATGAGTACGTCCCATCGGATGAGAACTCAGATGACGACACTGATTTTGAGTCATCTTCTTCAGTCCCATATGTTTTCGACGACATAAGTGGATGGGACAAGACTTTAGAGGAAGTAGATTGTGATGGGATTAAAATGTGGGATGGCAATCCATTGACGCTAGGCCTTGATATACATTTCGCCAACAAGCCTAAGGCACAAGCGGCAGTGGGAGAATGGAACTTGGTACATGGTCGGACTTTCCGGGTGAAAACGAGTTCTAAACGAACATGGTATGTCGAATGCGAGACCTGTGGACCCAAATATCCGAAAGAGCGTCTTCACGGCTATGATTGCTTGTGGAAGGCGCGAGTTTCGCTACAGAAGGCCACCGATACTTGGAAAATGGTGGTATGGTCCGATTCCCACAACAGTCTTGGGGCAAACAAGAGAAACGAGTCCCAAAACGTCACGTCTTCTATGATTGCTAAACTGGTTGCCCAAAATGTGCGAAAACATCCAGATTTTGCAGTTGCCCAAATTCAAATAGAAGTTTTGAAGAGGTACTAAGTCGAATGTAGCTACAAGTAGGCATGTCATGGTAGAAGAAAAGCACTTGAGGCTCTGTATGGTACATGGGAAAGTAATTTTCAACAACTGCCCAGCTTCCTCGATGCATTGTTCATGTCAAACCCGGACACTTGTGTGCAATTCAAGTTTAAGGAAAATTCAGGAAGCTCACAAAGGTTTGTATGTAGGTATGTTTTCTGGGCATTTGGCCATCTATACAGTTATTTCATGCTTGCTGGTCAGTAATAACCATCGATGCCACTCACCTGCGAGGATCCTACAAAGGAAAACTAATTGTGGCATGCGTAAAGTGCGCAAATGGCACAATTGTTCCCATCGCATTTGCTCTTGTGGATGAAGAGACTATACACAGCTGGAAATGGTTTTTGAAGTATTTGAAAAAGTTTGTTCTAAAGGATAGGAAGACCTGTATTATCTCTGATCGAAATCAGGGTATCCTTATTGCCATGGACATCATGTTGCCAAAATTCCCAGAGATGGGAGTCCACCGGTATTGTCTAGAGCATGTTAAAGCAAACTTGGTTGGGCATTTTCGAAAGGAGAAACTGGGAGGCAACTGTCAAATGATTGGTTCAGCGACGCAAAAGACAAGGTATTTAGCAGAGTGGCAAAAATTAGAAGAAAAAAATGAGCCTGCTGCTCGTTGGCTTCAGAAGCTGGGTGTTGAGAAATGGACCTATTTACACGATGGAGGGCATCGTTGGGGAGAAATGACCACTAACATTTCAGAGAGTTTCAATAATGTGCTGAAAGGTGCTAGATTCTTCCCAATCAGAGCTTTGATCCTAGCATCCTTTCAGAAAAGCAACAATCTGTTTCAGGCAAACATTGATATTAGCTAATGATCTCTTCATTCTGAATTAGCTCTGGGCCTGGGAGCAGATTTTGACGGTTCAGCCCAAGATACTGGGTGGGGAGCTCGATCTATCTCATTGTCCATTGGGCACGAGGTAATCTTATACATCAAACCTTCGTAAATTTTGACATTGTGATTTGTACTGTCATGTCTCAATTTAATGTTACTTTCTCCGTGCAGGTGGTCCGTGAGAAAAAAGTTCAAGGTATCACGCGGTTCAATTTGGCCGCGTACCGGGATCAGCTTGCAGTTCTCGCAGAGTCTGATGTTAGTATTCTATTCAATTAGTATAACTTATTTTTTATTCGTTTTTTTAACGTTGTCGGACTTTTAATTACGCGTCTCTTTCTTAATTACCATTGCAGATGGATGCCGTACACGACTCTTCTGGGTCGTATTGCCAGGGTTTGTCTTGTGGGACAGGGCATATGGCGATCTCAAACATGGCTCATCTGCGGTGATGTCGTTGTGCCACAAAACCCCAGTAGGGTATTTCGCCAATTTGGTTATCACCAGCAGATACCCGGCGACGCATTATTTCTCACTGCGGCGGAAACTACTAGCCTGCACAAGAGGAAGCCGTTTGGAGGATCCGATAGGAGATGGATACAACAACTAGGGATATATCTCCAGGTTTGGAATGATCGCCACGGCCGACTTGTGGGGACTGATGATGATTATGTTGGCGAGCCTTCCAAAGATCCAGAGTATCTCTTGTGGTACCATCAGGTTACTGTGAAGTATGTTACGGATCCGACGGACTCTGAAAATGCGAGGGGTTTTCACAGCTCTGCAGAGACCTTGCGCCTCATGGTGAGTATTTCGCCTACAGTCCATTTGGTTCTTTTTATTAACACTGTTGTCGATTTATGATTCTTTCTAATAAGAATTTCAGGCCACATTGATGGAGGACGTTCGTAGTCTGAGTATTATAGGCCAACGTACTTTCGACGCGGACTCCTTTGGTTATGATCGCTTAGGCGAGATTGCCCAGGTTGCTGAGCGGGCGTTGTCCGTCAATGCAACGAATGTTGTACGTCACGATCTCGATAGGCATGTTGAGGTTAATGACATTTTGTGTCAAGAACTTGCACCTGTAGACCCGACCCAGCAACATCCACCACCCAGACCTCCGAGGCGTTCGTGCAGGTCTCAGCGTGGGCGTGGGGGGCAAGAGACAATCACATCCACTCAGCAGTCTCATATTCCTTTCACTGGCGGTTCATCCCATCAGTCTCCATTCCATTCTCGACAGTATTCATCCCATCAGTCTCCACATCATTCTCCACATCATTCATCCTATCAGTCTCCACATCATTCTCCACATCAGTCTCCACATTATTCTTCGCCGACCCAACAGGCGTTTTACCGTCCGATTATGTCTCCCCAGCACCAGCAGTCCCATTTTGCCTTCACTCAGTTTTCCTCCCCTCAGACTTCTCAGCCTCAGTTTGGAGATTCTTTTATTGACTTTTCTGGGTTTCAGCAGAGTTCGCTAGATGGCCAGTCGATACATTACACGAGTAACTTTCTTTCGAGTATGTTCGAGGGTGTTGCGGGTCAGCATCAGGCTGATGATCCAACTGGAGGTGAGCGTGAGAGTCAGGGTGAAGATGAGGCTGAGGATGAGGTTGAGGATGCAGACCAGGATGATCAGTTTGAGGGTCAGGGTTATCAGCGCCATGAGGAGCAGGGATCGAGTCAGACTCTAGGGGCTCCACCGTTGGCTGTGAGTAAAGGCCAGAGAGTTACGAAGGAGCCCGATAGATTGACTTATAGCCTTTTTCGGGCTAAAAAGCCCAAGAAGAAGTAGGGTACTAGACTTTTTATGTAGTATTATTAGACTTGTTTTTTTTTTTTCCTTTTGTTCATTTATGTTTTTTTTTTCTTTTGTTATGACTTGTTTTTTTTTTTTTTACCTTTTGTTATGACTTGTAGTATTTTGTTATGACTTGTATTAATATTCTTAATAGTTTGATTTCACCTGCATCGTAAATACAATAATTAATATTTATAAAACACATCTTCGCCGATCAAATCGAAACACATCTTCAAACTTTCTTATATTTTTTTCATAATTCACAGTTGCTTCATCTTTTTTTTTAAAAAAAACAAACATCAAAGTATTTAGTTTATCCAAACAAAAGATGTAATTCTTAGTTCTTACATACCAACCGTCTATTAAAATTACCACATCCAGAAAAGAATAGTACCAGATACCTAAAACAAACATTCAGTAAACTAAAGTTCTCTTCAAAATTAATATGCGGTGCATTAAACAATCGCATTGGCAGCACTTGCAATCCGAGGCCAAAGATCATCACACTCCTTTCCAATGGGACTATTGATTGCAGAACCTTTCATTTTTCCCTTGGGATTAACAATCACTCCAGCATTATTTTCAATGTACATGTACACACCGTTCTTTCGGCGCCATGGCTTGCGCTAGCGGACAATGACTGCGGGCATGACCTTCTTTCTGATTGAGATCGGGCTTAACCTTCTTGACGGTGCCCATAACCATGTCATCGACGCAATCAGAAGGGAGACGGTTGAGCCTACCTTTCATTCCCTTCACTGAAATGATGTAAAGGTTCTTTACCCCGGTGTTGTCGGTGCAATTCACCGTCGCAGCCACTGGAAGACCCAGAGACATCCTAAACTTGTTACCCGCCGATCCTCCGCGTACTCGCTTCGACATTTTTGCTGTCTCCCCTGTGAGGTTTCCGAAGAAGAGACAATAATTGCTTCATCTTAAGCGTTGGTAAATTATAATAAATATTTAATAAAATTTATTCCTATTTTAAGCTTTTTTCTTATATTGAAACCGTCATAATTAATAAAAATAATTTGTAAATTAAATTACATCTAATTAAATCCATAAAATTATGTCATTATCATTATTGCAAATTTTTCATATAAAATTATTTTATAAAATAATGATTACATTTTTAATAAATTTTTTTAATATAATCATTATTAAATTTTTTTATATAATGTTCTAAAAATTTAATACATTATAATAACTATATCATCCTTTTAATAATTTATATTTAGTATAGCTCTATTTAATTTAATGAGTATCAATTATAATATTATATTCTTATTCAAAATTTAATTTTCGTATTATTAAAATTATCAATATAATTTTCCTCTTTATACCTCTATTCAAAATTTAATGATTAACAATTATAATTTTAAAATTTTCTGTTACCATTATTCAAATTTAATAATTTTTTGAAGTCAATTTCCCTATAACGTTTTAAACTAGTCAAATTAATCATATTTTTATGACTATTTTCTTTTTTATTTAAATAAAATATTCTTTTAATTTTTTTCGCGCTTTGAAAACGCGAATTGATATTTATTCAATTCTTTTACCATTAATTAATTAGGATTAAGTTAAATTAATTACGTTTTCTTATTTTTCGCGTTTCTAAAACGCGAAAAATTAATTTTAGCGTTTTCAAAACGCGAAATTTGCTTTTTAGCATTTTCAAAACGCAAATTTTGTTTTTTTCGCGTGTTTGAAGCATGAGAAAGCTATTTTTGGCTACAATTTAAACCCTAAGTTTATTTTGTTCTTCATAAATTTTTTCAGATATTAATAAGTAAATTCGCCTTGAATTTAGAGTTGTACTGATTTGGTTGAGGATGGGCTTTAGGGAGAGGGAGGCCGAATTGGGTGTTTTTTCCTAGGATTATGTGATTTGGAGGGGGGAGCAATTTGGGGACGAAAACAATGTCGGGTAGTTTTTGTCTTTTTCTGGAAGGGGGTACCCTTCAAAAGGATTTATGGGAGAAAAATTGTTTTTGGAAAGGGTCCCTTCAAAACTACGTCGTTTTGAAATTGGAGGTTATGCAGAAAGTTTTATTTTTTTTATTTATATGTAATTAGTGAATGACGCTTTCGTCCTCAATTAAAAATATGATGCAACACTGACATAAGGATGATGCCACGTGACGACCGCCCGGCCAATCAGATTGCAAGAAATTTTTAGCCAAGCGTGACTTTTATATTAGCTTATAGATCAGGATAGACATATCTAAGTCCAAATTTGAGTGTTTTTTTTTTAATTGAGTTACCTTAAGAAAATAAAAGTATTTAAAGTGCGTAAAAATAAAAACCAGATTTAAGAACAAAGATGGGAGAAATTTAAAATAAGGAAAAATATAGTCATTAAAAAAATTAACTATTTAGTGATAAGTGAGCTTTTTCTTTTTTTTTTTCTTTTTTTTTTGTGGCCATCAATTGAACTAGACAGTAAGACCCACTTAATTATTTCAACAATATGATATTAGTTATCATCAAACACAATTTAAAAGTATTTAATTTTTGAAAAGATAAGTACTTAATTAGTTCAACACTTAATTCATAAAGAGTTTCAATAGTCTTGATCAAACATACTTCATTTATTAAATAGATTGACTGACTGTACCAGATGATTACCTAACATAGTCTTAGCCTCTTAGGAATAGAGATTTACTAAATTACATCAATCTTATGTTTTGTTTATGATTTCAACATTCTCTCCGCGAGGTACAAATATTCACTTGTTTTAACACATTCCTCCCAACATGGAAGGAGCGAACCGTATACAGGACAAGTGTTATTCACTCGTTTAATAGATATAGAGAAATTACATAACTATGAGAGTACATCAATGAAAATGCCATCACGCCATCGAGAATTTTCTTTTTCCACCTGAAGAAATCACCACATTGTGTAGAAAAATCAATATTGCAAACTTTGTGAACTCATTCGCAGGACACGTATGAAGGCCTCCTCCGAAGGGCACGTAGGTATAAGGTATTGGTCCATCCCCTTCAAACCTTGACGGATCAAACTTCTCAGGATTTGGAAAGTACTCCGGGTTCCAATGTGTTGCATTTGTGTTCCAGTGAATCTGTACATCATTCGGAAAGTCAACAAACTAAATGTGTACATCAAGTGATACCTTAAAACAAAAGTTACATTGCACAACAAGAATTGACACTTTTAATCTCCTACGTGACAATACCAATTCTTTATCTTAACCCTTAACCGTCCCACTCAAATTCAAGTTCTACTTTATTTCAAGGGTTGCAATTGGCGGAAGTAGACAATAGTTACATCTTTCATATGACTGAATAAACACAAAAATAACCTGGTGCTCTTGAAAGTCAACGCCAGCGTATAACGTAACTACATGTAATAATAATAAACTAAAGTAAATGTGTTATGAACGCAAAATTTTGATAATAGGTCGGACAGACAGACGAGAATCTGTCACATCAGCCTTACATCATAAACTTAATTAGGGTTACAACTATCGTTGACTAATTTCTTTGATCTTTCCTTTTTTTTTTTTTTGTTATTACGGACAAAAGTAGATAGTGCAATTAAAAAAAGTAATACTTGTATGTATATTGTCTTATAAAACTAACTCACTTTACCATAAAATTTTAGTTCAATAGAAAGTTGATTATATTTTCATGGACAAGAGATATAGTGTAAGATATAGGACAACGAGATGTAGCTTAGTGGTAAGACGCCCTACCTGTTGACCAATAGGTCATGGTTTAGAGTCACGTCGAGGGTAAGTGGGAAATCACTATTAATCCCTTAATATATATATATATAGATAGATAGTGCAAGATATATTTTACCTTCCATCCTTTCGGAATCATATATCCTTCATAGTCAAAATTCATCATGACTTCCTTAAATCCTCCGATCGATGTTGGTGCTAGCCTCAAGGTTTCACATACAACGTTCCATGAATACTTCATTTTTCTCACATCTTCCCACGTGATTGTTTCCGTTGATTTGGAACTTGCAATTTCTTCTTGCTCTTTAATTAATTTAGGGTTTCATGCATGCAAATTAATAAAATGTTAACATAGTAGTTTTTCAAGTGCAAGATGAGCGACAATAATACTTACATAAACTATCAATCTGATTACCTTTCAAGACCAGGTCGTAAATTTCTGGAAATTCGGCAAGATGTTTCAAAACATTGATAGCTGTGATACGTATTCCCAAATAGCTTGCCGCAAGTAAGCCTAGCAGAGCGGTTCCCACGTCATGGACAACTTTGCTATAGCCACCATCTGTCGGTTGAATCATTTCACTCAATAAATCATTTACAACATTATTGGAACATTTTGCATCATCAATCATGTTCTTCCTTTCCCTAATCATTGTCTCAATCTCTTTGAGCAATGCTTTGGATTCGTTGATCGCGCGATTCAACGCGAAACCTGGAAGATTGACAGGCAACGAAAAGAGGCCATTTAACATCACCTTGATACTTTGTTCATGTGCATTGATCTTTTCCACGTTGCTCTCCATCCCTAAAAATATCTTGCAGGCGGATGTGATCGTGTACTTTTCCGCCAACTTTTCGCGAATCTGATGATCATTCATCATCATCATTTGCCCGTTTTCAGAGTTCTCATCGAATTGCGATAGTAATTCCTTTATGGTGGCGTCGAAAATTACCACGTAGGATTTAAGTGCGTCACCCTTTAGGATGGACGAGAGGAACTTGCGTCCCATTTGTGTCTGTTCATTATCGTTCATGACCTTACTGTTCTTACCAAACAGTTTGGCCACCGAGGCGGCGTACCAGTGTTTGAGCAGCGTTTTCTGGTTCGAGAACACGAATCTGTTCCCTTCCGCACCGGAAAACACTACCACTTTCTCGCCTAGTATTGATGTCTTGAATATCTTGGAAGAATATTTTCGACACCTTTCCAGGACGAAATTTTGAGGGGTTTGGTGTTGGAAATTTGAGAAGAAATCTAGGCTTTCGCCGAAGAAAGGCCAGCCCGTGTTTCCCGGGGGAAGGTTATTATTACCTTTAATTTGACCTTCAGCATCGAGAATTTGGTTGGGAATTTGAGAATTTCTTCTCCGGAGTTTTGTTACGTGTAAGAATAAAAGGGAGATGATTAGTGACAAAAGAAGCAGAAGTATATCTGATGTTTCCATCATTTTTGTTTTTCTCCTTTCGAGCTTATTTGTTGCGAGCTTGCCAGGGCTAGCTTCACATTTATAGCGATCTTTGGTGATAGCTCTGACTCTAAGAAAGTATAAAATAATTTTGTTAGAACTTCTACAGGAAAGTCATCAATAAATTAGGGATTCCATTCTTGGTACAACTAGTTTTTAAGATAGAATTTGTCGAACGCTTCTGATTCGTCATAGTTTACAGTCCAAGGAACCATTAACAATCATTTTTTTTTTTGTTGTGGGAAAACCCATCTTACATGCGGGAAAAAAATCCACCCGTTTAAATGTTTGAAAAACCCGTCTTACATACCTCACCCTGGATTGGAATGGATTCCTTAATTTTTAGGAGATCCACTTATAGTCTTATGACCAGGTCAATCATTTTCATGTTTTTTTTTCTTTCTTTTTTTTTTTTTTTTGGTCCTTTCGAGCTTTCTAGTGTGAGTTCCGTCGCTAGTTTCCAATTTATAGCAATGCTGTTTGGGGATAAGTTTTGAAAAATAAAATAATTAGATTATAGTAACTTTTGCTTGGCTAGAGGGAGTATTATTTTTCTCTATGATAAATAAAAATGGTGAGAGATTCTTTGTGAAAATGCCCGGATGTAAAATTGACTCCATTAAGATTCTACCTGAGATTTTTTTATTTTTTGTTTTTTAATTATTATTGTGCCACATCGAGAGCATGGGTGACAGGCTCGATGACAGTTTTTAGGAGACGCGAACACTTATATCAGTTGATGTACTGACCATTGGAGTGTTTATGAATTAATTCCGGCCTCACTGTTTCAGGCACTCCGACAATCATCCGATAATCTTAATCAAAATCATAACAAAAGCCAGAGTTGTCGATCGGGAAACGGAACCGTCTAAAACTAGATCATGTTACAATATAGTCATGGTTGACTTTATGGATCAAACTTCATTTATTCGCTGGAGAAAAGACGTATAAAAGTCTTACAACTGGACAGCTATTTGTTTGTTCCATGATCAACTAGCTTTTACAAACTCCAAGTAGCCGATGGATCTTTTTCTAAGCAATGCCCCAACTTGAACTTCTAAAACCCTAATTAAAACGTCAACTTCAGCAAGCACGTTAGTTGGATTGGGCAAAGCAAAGATACTTCAAAGTCAATTTTCTGAATCAAACCACCCGCAAATCTTATTTATCAATATGGTTGTCAAACACACCCTTAGTCATTAATTTTTTGAATTTTGGTGGCGATTCTTCCAAAGTAAATTAGGATGCTTTTTGGTTATATATGTTTTGGCTATATATATGTTGTTATCTCCCTATGTTTCAAGTACAAAGGTGTTAAGGTAAATTGTACACCCTCTACGAAATTTGTCATGTTTTAGTTCAAATTTGAAATACTAATTTGGACTATTTCTTTGGAACAGAAGAAATACTATAAACTAACTAGATGTGACAAGGGCTTCTCATGCGTTTGGTACATAATATTACATTATTTAAAGAGTAATGATATTTTTCTCTACTAATGTAATTTTACTTATAACTCTACCTACATGTTTATCTAGTGGCATTACACAGCATCTCAACTAATTATTATTTTTTTATTTACAAAAAGAGAAATAATTTTAAAAGAAATTTTATCCTTTTGTTTTTTTTTTTCCTTCGGTCCTTTTCTTCCTTTTTGTTCCCTTTTACAATCGCGAGTCCTCTCCTTCCACAAAACTCCGAGAATTCACAATTCTCATTCATCCAAAAAAAATCAAATTAATTGAAGCATATCTAATAGACTTGTGTACTATATTGCCATTGTTCGAGTTCTCTTAGATATGTTTTCATTATTCTTGATTGTGAACCAAATCTTGCCATTGTCGGGAATTCTTTGTCCAATCTCCTATTATATTTCAGCAATTAACCTAAATTTTGGCAAGGTCAAGGCAGACGTGGGCGAAGAATTTGGTTTTCAATCGGTGAAGGGAATCTGATTTTTTTCTTCTTCTATTTGTTTGAGGGTGCTACGCAGAGGGTGAAAAGGGGAAAGAAAAGTGGATGAAACTTGAAACCTTCGGTTGAAAGTAATTTTATTTTTTAGTACAACGAAAAATAAATAAATATTAAAAAGAAAAAATTATACGAGGGAAGTGATGTGGAATACTAACTAGATAGATATGTAGATAAAGTCATATTTGTAGAGAATAGTATCATTACTCTTATTTAAATCGAATTTCAAAAGATAGAGAAGGAGAGAAACAAACATCCATTTAAAAGAGAGAGAGATCGACATGGAACTTTGTGGATATATGGTTTGGAGTATCACCAAAGCATAAACCATTGACATTTAGAGGTAAACGCTTCAAGAATTATAGGAAATTGAAAAAAGGTACATTGCATGTGCAACGCGTAACGTAACATTTCAAAAGTTTATTTTAAGTTCAACGTACGTATCGCAATTCAAATTGGAAATCAAGGAAAATGGCAGGGTTGTTGTCCACTAGCTCAGTTATTGCGCCGTTGTTAGCGTTTTCTATACTCCACTTCCTCTCGTTGTTGATTTCGGAATGTAAGTTCTTAAAACTTTTTTTGATTGTCTCGTACAAAACAACAAACTCTCATTATTATTTGAAACTTTGGTTGTTAATCCATTGTCATCGACTAACACTAAACATTCTAAGTTAAATTTATCTTCTTGGCTCTTTAGTCACTGACAGCTTATGTAAATTTATGCAGTTGTTAGCATGTTTTATAATCTTTTGTTCCAAAAAAATTAGTTAACATTGAATTTAATATAGAATTTTGGGGACAATTTACATGTATTATAATTTTGAAATGGACTCTTTTCGTCTGAAAAAAATAGTCCAAATTAAATTTTGAAATCTGAATTACAAACAATATAGATGCCAAAAGTCATGTGAACTATTCTTTTTAATAAAGGGAGTATAAAACAAAACAAAAGCTCCACAAAGTAAACGGCCTAACGTGTTAGGTAGTTCTAAATACATAGTCCACCATGCTTAATGGTAAACCTTTGTTGCATTGTTATTGAAAATTAAGCAACTGTTCGAATTCTTGTGTACTTGCAGGTTGTTGTCACCCACTTCCAAGGGTAATGAACCAATAGACTACAGTTGGGGGGGTGGGGTGATTTTTTAAACAAGATGTGAAGTACTTTATCACACTTTATTTTTTAAAGGGATTAATAGTGGTTCCCCACTTACCTTCAGCGTGACTCGAACCTGTGACCTATTGGTCAACACGTGAGGCGTCTTATCATTAAACTACACTTAAAATAACCAATTAATACATAAATTTAAGGTAGATTATTTTCCACGGTGAAGATTTCCAAGCAATATATTCTAGCTTTATTGCCACTTGATCTCAGAAATGATTGATTTAAATATTTGAATTTCCAACCTAACGATGATATGGTTACTGTCCTGCTGGCTAAGGCACCCTAATTGCCAGATCCACTACAACAAAAATGAGTAGTTTAGACACTTTTTTGTATCTCAATAAATAGTGTAATATGACACATGTGATTCAAATTCCGTGGGACACTACTAAATAATGTCTCCTATAATCGAGTCACGATAAGTCATGAAACATTTGAAAGTGTATTATTAGATTGTTACTCATTAACACACTTTAAAGTGACCCATTAAGTAAGGTAATAGTTCACAAGCAACCCCAAATAGTTCACTTATGATAGTGTTTTATAATATGAATACACTTTTTCATTTTCAATAAGACACTTTTTAGCAAATGTCCTAATACACATATAATAAGACACATTTTAGGAAGTGTCCCACCATAAAAGTATTAATAGCCCATTTTTGTTGTAGTGATCTTGGGCGAAGACAAGAAAGAGGGTAAGAAAATTGATTGTAAGACCGGCGTGTTTGTTATGTATTCAGTAATCTCGAATTGCATGATGAACAAGCAGTTTTTAGTTAATTTGTTAGTTTTTTATGATACCGTAATTTATTTTCATCCCTTTTACCCTATTAAAGCAGAATACAGGATGTTGATGTGGCAACTTCTAATTAAAAATTTTTGGCTCCAAATGCACCATATGGCATTAACTATTCTGCCACGTGTCATCCCTTTTTAAAAGAAAAAAACTTCTTATTCGGAAAAATAAAAGCTACTTTACAAAAATAGTTACACAATTTTAACTCCTAACATTTATCATTTATCAATCAAATTAAAAGTATTTAAATTTGTCCATAAACTTATCCCCTTTATTACTCCACATTCTTTTGTATGATTTCTGCATCGTTGTACTTTTCAATATTTTTTCTCCTTTGGCAGATGATTTTTTTATTTTTATTTTTATTTTTTTGCTAAAAAAGGAAAAAAAACCAAATGTGTAGCTATTTTATTTTTTCCAAATAAAGAATTCATTTATCTATTAACATAAAACTAAAGTAGAGATGCCCGGGCCAAGCATCTAGTTGTTTTTAAGAAACTGAAAATAGTTCAAGCTAGAGAGTCCCGCAAATACATAGCATTCATAAACAGAGATCTTCATTAAAGAGATGGAGTAAAGACTAATTTCCCCTCACGTTTCTCAAAAGGAGAAAAAGTCTCCCAAACTACGTTTAAATAGACAATTTAACCCTTCATCATCGATGGAATAGTGAAAAACATGAATAAAATGACAAAAATGCCTTTTTAAGATTATTATTATTATTATTATTATTATTATTATTATTATTATTATTATTATTATAAAAAGAAGAAGAAGAAGAAGAATGACAAAGAAATCCCAAGCTATGACTGTATGTCCCCATGCCCTCTTGAATTTTTTTGTAAAAACATAACCCTCTTGACAAATTTAATAATAATTATGTTATTACTCGATTTTGTTTTAGACAACAAATTCGGAAATCCCTGCAACTTCCACTAACACTCTTTCACTCAACAATAATTTATTTATGATTTGTGCAACTAATATTGAAAACTCCGAACGCTACAAATCTCTCATTTAAATTTGTGAATTTTCATTGTATCTATTTTATGGATATATGAGA